TGGAGCCACAGAACAAGGCAGAAAGGGGGCTGGGCTAAGAAAGCAGGTGCCAGGCTGTGGCACACCCTGGGTAAGCAGTTGATTGGGTGGGAGGCAGGGGACCAGACTTCTCTCCAACCCTGAGATGTCCATTCAAAATTCGGGTTTGACTTGTTCAGCCCCCAGAATTTTGGGGTGTCTTTGTTAAGCAAACCTACACAAGTGTTGGGTGGGTACAACGTATCCAGGGTTTGGATCGCTCTCATTGGGGTTCTCAACAGTTCCAGGAACAGAGGGCCTTAACTCTTTAGAGACCAGCAAATGGCAACAGGACAGGAGCCTTGGTCTGCTGACAGTGGCTGCAGTCAGACGCTGCCCTGGGGGAGCTTGAGAAGGAGTTCCTGACGCAGGTGGGGTGGATGGAACCAGCACCCTCCAAAACAAAGAGAATTCCAGGCCACACAGGGTCTGTGAGCAGCTTCTTCCAATCCCCTGGTCTGTATGACTTGACCTGAAAAACCAAGCTTTGGGTTGGAGGCCTGGTCCACAGCCGGGGAGGGCTAAGTTGTTCCCTTTAACAAAGGCCTACAGCTCCCCATCCTGGGTGGACTTTGGGCCAAGGCTGTGTGCCTCCAGCCAGCTCCCTGGGGCTGCCACCTGAACTATTGGCTCTGAGCCTTACTGTCCTTGCTCCCAGGTTTAGCATGTCAGGGTGGCACCCTGGTCATGGGTCTAGCTCTTGAGGTGCCAGTGGCAAGGCTGAGCCTGGGGGCTGGTTCTGGAGGTGGCTGCAGGGTTACAGAGCTGGAGTCCTGATTTTTATCTCTGGCTTTCCAGATGGCACCAGGTTTGATTGACCACATCCAGCATGGCCCCTCACCCAGAGAGACCTGGGTTTAATTCCTACAATGACTAGTTAGCTGTGTGTACATGGGAAAATTGCTTAATCATTCGGTGGTGCCTCAGTTTACTTCCTTGCAAAGCAGGGAAAATATCACCCTCTGTGATGAGGAGGGGAGACCATGAAGAGCACCCGTCACCATGGGAATGAGTTAATGGGAGCCATTATTGTTACCAGCCTTCTGTTTCCTGCAGGAGACAGCAATTGGTACCCAGGCCTTCTTCCCTTCTGGGAGAGCCCCAGACAGCTCCCCGGGGTCCCCAGGCTGGGCTCTCTGAAAGGGTGGATGAGCAGAGAAGCCATTTCCAGGGCAGCAAGCCTCCCAGGGAGTGCTCGGGCCCATCTCCTCCAGCCCCCAGCTGCCACAGGCCGTAACTCTGGGCTACAGCCCTCGGGGGAGCTGTGAAAGCCTCAGCTTTTACCTCCATCTCGTGCACTCCAGGCCCTCAAGACCCACCCCAGGACCTGCACAGGGACGGGATAAGACAGGCCTGGCCCCCACCCTCCGCCAGGAAGGAGGGTAGGTAAGTTTGCAGAAAGAACTGCCCTGGAGGCTGGGGCTGGAGCTGCAGCTCAGCATTAGAGCATTGCCTAGCAAGAACGAGAGTCTGGGTCGATTCCCAGTGCCACCAAAAACAAAAAAACAAAAAACCAACACAGCAGAGGAAAGAGTGGCATGCTTTCCGTCTGAGGCACCCTCCTCTGAGCCCTCAGGGTAATCCCAACAGCCCAGTCTGAGACACTGCAGACTGGCCTTGGTGGCTTCTCCTCCCTCTGCCACTTCCCTTCCCCTCACTCCCCATCCAGAGGGTGCCATGACCAGTTCGGTCTCTCTGATGTCCCAGCTGCCCGTGGCCTTCATCCTCCTGCCCCTGTGAAGCTCCTGTGAACCCTGTGATCTCTCTAGACCCTGCCCCTGCTCTGGCCCCTCCCTGGTCACCCTGGTCACTCCTCTGCTGGCAGTCCTTTCTCTAAAGATAAAGGTCAACCCAGCCTGACCTTGAGGCCTTCGTCACTGTCCCACCCGCTGTCCCCAGGGTGTCCCTCACAGGGCTCCTTCCTGCCCTGCTCACATCTCCTCTTCCTGCACAGACTTCTCTGGAGCCCAAGCAGCCCTCCCGACACCCCGCTGCTCCCCTGCCCGCCCACAGTGCTGTCCTGCCCCGTCCCCCTGCCATTCCCATTTGTTTTCAATGGTTTGACGCCTGACTCTAAGTCAGGGAGGCAATTCAAAATTCTCTGTTCACATTTTCTGGAAGTGGGTCAATTTTACATCTCAGTGTTTAAACTACTGCATGAAAATCACTTTCATAAATCACAAAAATAAAAAAGCTAATTCTGGTATTCTTATTCTTTTAAAATCCCCCTTTAAAAGTTTCCATCACTATGAGGTTTTCAGACATCCACAGGAAGGTGAGCAGCTTCTTCTGCCTGCACCTCTTACGCTGTGAATTGTCGATGTTGGGGAGGCAGGGGCCACCTGTCCCTGGTCTGTATATTCCTGTGGCAGCTCTAACACCGCGTGAAGGCCACAGCTGATCTCTTTCCAGGCACAGTGGCACACTCCTGTAATCCCAGTGACTTGGGAGGACAAAGGAGGAGGATCTCAATTTTGAGGCCACCCTCAGCAACTTAGTGAAGCTGTAAACAACGTAGTGAGACACTGTCTCAAAATAAAAAATAAAAAGGGCTGGGGGTGTAACTTAGTAGTTAAAGCATCCCTGGGTTCAATCCCCAGAGCACAAGTGCGCGCATACACACCACACACACACACATACACACACACACACACACACACATGCTGATTTCTTGGGGCGGTCACAAGTTGCTGTGAGGCAAAACCCTGCCAGAGCATTCCCTGTTGACTTTACGTGGCCCTAGAGCTGCCATGGGAGTAGACGAAGACCAGGGACAGAGATGACGCTGCTTTCTCCCTTTCCTGTGGTTCTTCCCTGGAGTAGAAGTCCACAGCAGAGGTGAGTGCTGGCCAGTGGCTGGGGCTTGCCGTGCCCTTCTTGCCTGGACTCAGCTTACTGTGACATGTTGGAGTAGCTCTGGCTCAAGAGCTGAAGCAAAGGGAATTTGGCAAAGAAGATGTCACAGCTCAGCAAGCTGGGCCTGGCTAGGAGGGCGGCTGTCGGTCAACGGGCCCCTGCTCCTGTCCTGCAGATTACAAATCATGTGATGCCCTCTGGTTCATCACGTGGCAAAAGACAAGAATGACCTCTGAGCTTCTAAAAGCTCTAAGCTCTGGGAGCCCCAGTGTCTTGCACAGTGCCAGGCAGATTTGGGCTCCCATTTCAGTGCATCTTGACTACTGTTTGACCCTCAGGAAGTTTCTTTAGCCTCTCTGAGCCTCAGGTTCTTCATCTGTAAAATGGGGCTGTAATACCTGCCTCACAGGGTTGTAGACATGGGCACAGGCCTGAAGTTCCTTCCACTCTGTAACTAGCTGCTGGTGACCCAAGCTGCTCACAACAGCTACTCTTATCCTTTGCTTTGAAAGCCTCCCTGTGGCAGATCTTCTGGTGACATCATGAGAGTGGGTTGGTTGGATGCTGCCACATTAATACCTTTTTTTAGTGTGCAGTGCTGGAGATAGGGCCCACAGCCTCACACAGGCTAAGCAAGCACTGTAACACTGAGCTGCAAGCCCAGCCCTTTTGAACCAGGCACGGTGGCACATGCCTATAATCCCAGTGACTCAGGAGGCTGAGGCAGGAGGATCACAAGTTCAAAGCCAGCCTCTGCTTATTGAGGCTCTAAGCAACCCAGCAATATCCTGTCTCTAAATAAAATATAAAAAAGAAAGGGCTGGGGATATGGATCAGTGGTTTAGCACCCCTGGTACCAAATAAATAAATAAATTTATTTTGAGACAAGATCTGAGTTGCCCAGACTGGCCTCAAACTTGTTCTTCTTCAGCCTTAGCCTCCGAAGTACAGAATTACTGTGCCACCACCCTACTTTAACACTTTTTTTGACAACTGCTGATCTCCCCAAGAATCAGGAGGATGCTCTTTTCCAGCACAAGGTAATTTCCCTTGCTTTTAATTCTGCCATCTTTCTTTTTTTTGGGGGGGGGAGTACTGGTGATTGAACTCAGGGGAACTTGACTACTGAGCCACATCCCCAGCCTTATTTTGTATTTTATTAGAGACAGGATCCCACTGAGTTGCTTAGTACCTCACTTTTGCTGAGGCTGGCTTTGAACTCACAATCCTCCTGCCTCAGCCTCCTGAGCTACTGGGATTACAGGCTGCACCACCGTGCCCAGCAATTCTGCCATCTTCCTGATAGACTCTGTGTCCTTTTTCAGGGTCCTGGACTGCCAACAGGACTCAGGCCTGAGCCAGGCTCTTGAGGAACAGCCTGGGAGGGAGGCAGGGCTGACGCTGACCACGCCATGGGATTACTGTAGTGTCAGGGTGAGTCCCAGGGGCCGCAGAATCCAGGAGGACACCTGACCTCCAAAGTGCAGGGGAGAGGGAATGGATTGGAGAGGAGGCCTGGGCCAGCTCACAAACAGCTGTGAGCCACACTCGAGCTCTCTGGATGAAAAAGGAGTCCTTAAAAAATAAGTTCCCACCCGCTGCACATAAAGAAAACATGATGATCATAAACACAAAACCAATGTGGGCCTTTACGCAGGGAAGATGAGGCTGAGCCTCCTGGGAGGATGATATGGGGGAGGGTCAATGGGAAGCCTACACCACCCAGCCCCATTCGGATCTGAGCCGTAGTGAGGCTATGATGGGGCTGAGGACAGATAATTTGGAAAGTAGAATGGCCAGGAATCAAGACTGCTCGTAGGGGATGAGGAGGGAGCCAATGGACGCCATGTACATTTGTGACCAGCCAGATGACCGTACCTGGCTGGGAACCCTGTGGGTAAGTTTGGACCCGCTGAGTTTGAGGTCTCTATAGGGTCCCTGAGTCAGGGACTTGGTATGGGAGTCACGAGTGAGGAAGGCAGAATGTTGAGGTCCACTGTGGCAGGTGGAGGGGAGGGGACTAGCCTGAGGTCAGGGTGGGCTTGCACCAGACCAACCTGGCCCCGGGGCCTCTCCACATGCTCCACCTGGGCTAACAGCCGAAGGAAAACCTCGCCAACTGGGAGTCTCAGTGCAGCTGGTTTTTATTATTAAAGCCAAGGTCAGAAAATGGCTGTGGCCCCTCCCCAGCCCCCCACCCTCCAGATCTGTCCGTCACATTGTGTGAAGGTGAAAACTAGATTTGTCTTGAAGAACTCAGAAATGCTCATGCCGGAATGAGAAATGAGGACAAATGAAATAGGCTCAGATGGTGGTCTGTGTCGGCTCCACCCAGGATTCCTGGAAAAGACGGCTTGGGGTGGGGCTGCAGCCCCTGCTCACAGTGCTGTTCCCGAGGGTCCAGGGTGGGCATCAGGAACGAAGGCAACGGAAGAGGCTGAGCTGGCCCCCGTACTCTACCCTGCTGAAACTGGGCCACAGGCTGGTTTTTGTAAAAATGGTTAAAAAAAAAAAACAAAAAACCATAAACAAAAACAAAACCCCAGCCATGAGCACCACCCTCCCCTGAGCAGGGCAAGAGGAGGCGCCAGCTCTGGGCTTTGAGGTCTGAGGCACGTGGCCTCCTGGTCTGGCATCACCTCCCTGGAGGCAGGCAGCACCCTGAGGGAGGCCAGGCAGGATCCTGGGCCCCTGTGTGGCCTTCGGTGGCCTCCTGGGTCCCGAGAGAGCTTCAAGATGGCTGTCTCCCCTCCTCCCCCAGTGAACTTGCAGGCTCTAGGCCTCAGGGACCCTGTGCAACTTTTGCTCTTTGGATTCCAAAGATCTGAACTTCTCCTCCAGCACGGCGGCGGCGGGCTGGAAGTGGATGACAGGCTTGATCTGAAAGACAGTGAAGCCCTCCTGGTTCTTCTGGTTGAACAGACTTACCCTGTGCTCCAGCTCAGGGCTGGCGTGGGCCGAGCCGGCTGGGCTAGGCCGGGCCAGGGGGGCTGGGTCCAAGGCCCTCTGGGACGGGCAGGGGTCCTCTGACAGGGAGGACAGCAGGTCCCGCACCGTGGCCTCTGCCATCTGCGGCTGGGGTGGGGGCGGCAGTGGCAGGGAAGAGGGGCCGGGCTCAGAGGATGGCTCTTCTCGGGCGGTGCTGCAGTCTGTGGAGGAGCCCAGGGTCTGGCTGCTGTCGCTCTGGGCCCAGGTGACTGAGCTGTGGGTGGCACCCTCCGAGGTGGCACTGGCGCAGGTGCCGTTGCCACCGAGCTTCAAGGGCACATCAACTGAGAAGAGGTCTGAGGAGATGTTGGGCTGGTGGATGTCGATGGCCGCCGTGGTGACCACACACACAGCTGGTTCTGGGACCCCGCTGTCTGCAAGGAAGGAGGCGATGCCGGTCACACCTCGCCTTTGGCCATGCCCCGCCCAGCCCTGGTATGAGCGGGGCTAGCAGTGGGGTTGGTGGGGTGGGCAGTGAGTGTGGGCAGCCTATGAGAGGCAGCCTGCAAGGAGGGAGGCCTCAGGGGAGCCCCCGTTCCTGGTCATTCTTCACTGCCGCTCATCTTGTTGAATTCAGGTGCAGATATGGGACATATTTTGATGTCATCTATGAGAAGTGACTTGTGGCACTTCTGAGTGAAAGTTTTATGAGCCAGTATCTTAGAATCAATGGTGGCTGCTCTGTGTGTTGGGTACTGGGCAAAATGACCTGGGAGCAGAGCCCGAGGCTACTTGCCTTGGGCCACTGGTGCTTTATTTAAGCCACCCAGGGGCAGGGGCATTTGTTACACTAACCTAACCCAGTCCATCTTAACTCAGAGGGCACCACGTGCCCAGACAAGGGGCATGGACTTCTCAGTCTTCGGAGTCACTGGATGTTTTTGAGACCAGCATGGGGAGTGGGGAGTGGCCCGATCAGCACTGGTCTGCAGAAGATTGATTGGCCTGTCAGGAAGCATGGCAGGGGCAGGGGACACTCCTCAGTTCTGCTCTGGGTGACACAAATCAGGGGCTGACTGCAGTGGGGGTAGGGAGGGAAGATGGGGAGAGGGGTCTGGACTAGAGACTGATGGTCTTTGAAACCAGCAGTTTAGTTTGGATGAGGCTTGGAGAAGAGGAAAGAGGTCTTTAGGAGCCAAGTGATAGAAAAGAAAAAAATTCAAATACATCATACATTGTGCAACTTAATATTCTGTCTCTACAATGGACATGCAAGGATTTAGGGGCTATGAATTCCAAACTTGGGGTTTAAGGTGTTGGCAAAAAGGAAACAAGATGCCAAAGGACAAGGCATTGTTTTAATACCTTGTCCAATCTTTCCTGTAAGTAAAACCCACTAGGCTTCCCTGAGACTTTATGGTAAGAAGGAAACAATCTGTTGCCCCTCAGCCCAGGCACATGGCCTGAGCTCCCCTCCACCTGGCTCACCTGAGGGGGTTTCAGGATGGGGGGAGCCCATCTGGATCTCACCCCCCTTTCATTGCAAGGCTCTACTGCAGCTTTCATAGGTCAGTGATCACAAAATACCCCACTCCAGCACCCGCAGGCTCAGCCCGTGGCCACCCCAGCTCTGGCCCTGGAGTCTGCTGCCATCTCTGAAGCAGGACTGAGTTTTGCCGGTCCTCAGGTGTGGGGGTGAGGGGGTCGCAAGGACCTGGGGCTGCACAGTGGTTCATGCAGAACAGCTCCATCCCAGACTCACCGCTGCTGGGCCCGTTGTAGTACTGACTGATGTAGCTGTTCATGTCGTCCTTCACAGCGGCTTCTGTGGAGTGGGAACAGAGAAGAAAGAGTGCGTGGGGGTGGCTTTCAGAGTCCAAGAGACAAGGACTGTGGCAAGTTCATGCTTCACCCCGACCTCCTGTCTGTACACCTATGGCCACGAGAAGAGGCACCTGTCTCTCAGAAGCCCTGCCTATGTGGGATGGAAGCCTCCTTGTTCTGCACAGAGCCATGTCTCAGAGTCCCAGGGTTGGGCTGTACCAGGAACCAGGGGACCCAGGTTCTGATGCATTATGTACCTTGATACCTGACCTGGACAGACCCTTTCCCTTCCTGTCCCCCAACTCTGAGATGAGTGGTATGGAAATAATTCCTCAGGACTTTTCCTGTCTAGATGCCCTCAGTGTCTAAATCCGCCTGAAGTTTTCAGGGTCACCAGAACTGCTGGTCTCAATGCAGGAGACCCAAGATGCTGTTAGCAGGAACACACAGCCAGCCACAGGACTGAGTATCCCTGACGACAGTACCCCTGGGCTCAGTCCACCTGAGGCCTCTAGTCTTCCATGCCATTAACCCTGGGGGACAGTGCTGGGGATCCCTACTCAGTTCCTACCCTGTGTATTATTGTTGAGAAGGCTATTTAGTGGTTGAAGGCTGAATGGATCAAGGGAGATGACATGAAACAGGGTCTTTAAAAAACATCAGTTCATTGTCCTGAGAGGAGTGAGGAGAGAAGGTAGGTGATTCCCAGAGTGGCCTGAGAGCAGGAGGAAACAATGGGTCATGGGAGACCCCAAGGCCATCCTGAGGAGCTTGGTCTGACCCAGTGAGGAGCCCCAGGAAGGTTTGAACATGGCCAGGTGGGATTTGGAGGGGGCAACCCCAAAGGTGGAAGGAAAAGGGCCGGAAAGGGAAAACCCTCAAGCAAGGAAAAAAAAGGGCAAACCCCCAAGGGGGGGAAAAGCCCCGAAGGGGGGCAAGGCCCCAAGGGAAAAGCAAGGAAGGAAGCAGAGAGAAAAAAAGAGACCCCGCACAGGGGAGAGAGTGATGGGATAGGCAACCTGTCAGGCTGGGATTGCTCACTCCACACCCCAGCTCCACGGTGAGTCTCTGAGCCTCAGTCTTGTGCCTATAAAATGGGGATGGTGACACCCAGTTTCCTGAGTTGTTATGGAGATGAAAGGAGCTAACCCTGAGTCAGATTTCTAGAGTGGGGCCAAGCCTTGCTCCTCCAGGCAGCCCAGAGCTCGAGACCACACCCGCGGGACTTCTCGGAGGAACGGAGCTCTGCAGACGGGATGCTCCTGAGGCCGCCCTCCTGGTCACACCTGAGTTAGCTGCAGAAGCCCATCTGCCCTCATACAGGGAGGCCGAGTGACAGCACAAGCAGAGGCCTGGCTCTTAAAAGCTTTTTTGGCCTCTTTTTATCTTTCAGTGCCTGCGGTCAGAGGTGTGTCTACAGTAATGCAGGAGCTGAGGGTGTGGCCGGGGCTGGCTCCAGGCCCCCTCCAGCATTAGCTGGCAATAATGTTTGCTGTAAATGCTGTCTGGCCCTGCTGGCCACCCCGGGAAGCTGGAGGTGGCAGGCATGGCTGCTGTCATTCAAGCAGTAGAGGTAAAGGACCACCAGGCCCGCGGGCCAGGCAGGAGGACCTCACTCTAGCTGTGTCCTGGTGCTGCCAGGTCACATTCCCTCTCCAGGCCTTAGTTTCTTCATCTGCACCTCGGCTGGGGAGGCGCCTACAGATTATGATGTGGCCGTGTCCGATGGCTCTGAAGCTCTAAGAGGTGACACAGCAGAGGGGGAAGGGGCTGGAGGCATCTGGGCCATCCCCTTGACCCCCAGTGCAGGATCACCTCAGAGCCCTCTGCCAGGTGTTATTGAGGCCAGGAGTCCTGCCTCCAGGGAACATAGTTGGAGCCCCCTGGGCATCCACTCCAATCTCCATTTCATCAGGAAGTGCCTACTATGTGCAAAGCTTGAAGAGCCTGCTTCTGCCTTCCCCACTGGTACCAAGGAGAAGCCTGAGGCTACTCACAGTTTAGACAAAACACCTTCCAGCTCTTACAGACCCCTCAGGCCCATCCTGAGCAGTGTCCTCTGCGGGTAGCCCCTGCCCAGCTCTGGCCCTCCCTACTTTCCAGCCTTTCCACACTGAATGCTTCACTGTGGGTTCCAGATGGGTACCGAGGCGGGGAGGAGGCAGGAAGGGAGCCCCAGTCCTGATCAGTGCCGCACACACTCATTTTGACCCTTAGCAGGGCCCTGCATGATGGGGACCATTGAACAGACTGGTCTGGCGCCATCATCCCCCCCAACGTCCTCTGTGTGTTGAGCAACCGCCCTCTCTACTGACTCACACGGAGCTTGGCTAGCATGGACGCCCAGGTCTCCTCTGAGGAGTGGGAGCCAGGCCAGGCCTCACCGCCCCACCAGGGCTTTGCATCCACTATCCCAGGTAAAGGCAGGCAAAGGTGGGCATGTCCATCTCAGCACTGAGGTGCAGCTTTCTGGAAGCATTCTGAGTGTGGGTTCAGCCTGCTGAGGTCTCTGACCCCTCTCCCATACATATTTGAGGATGCTCACATCTTAATCCAAGTAAAGATAACCTGAGCCTGGTGTCCTCCAGACCAGACCTTTTTTTAAAAAAAAAATTTTTTTTAAAAATTGTAGATGGGCACAATACCTTTATTTATTTATTTATTTGGTGCTAAGGATCAAACCCAGTGCCTCACACGTGCTAGGCAAGCGCTCAACCACTGAGCCCCAGCCCCCAGACCTCTCTTTTGAGCTTAGACTGGTCTGCCTGTTCCCCAGGCAACTTCTCCTGAATGGCCTCCAGCTGCCTCTAACTCAACAAGTCCAAAATTGAACACAGCTTCTCCCTCCCCTCCAGCATCCTTCGCCTTGGTGACTTAGTTCCTCTGCCCACCTGCAGTGGGACCCTGGTCACTTCTCTGTGCCTCCTTTCTTTCTTTACCAATGACCCTGACTCCCACTAAGTTGCGGCCAGTCAAGGGACCCCTGAGCCCTCTGCTGCAGCCCTGTGTCCAGCCTTAAGTGAGACCTCACATTTTCCCCTTTAGGCTCTTGCCCTACGTGGGTTTGATGAATGGGATCACTCACTCATTACAGGTGTCTGACAAAGAGCCTGGGCCCCAGGTGGCCACAAAAACTCTGACCAGTATGCACTTTCTCTGCCGCCCTCACTCCCTCTGATCCAGACCTGAGTCACAGTCTGGGAGGGGGCCTGTCCAGACATCCCTGGGAGTGCTGACGCGGGCCTCATCTGCCCTCTGCTTCACACTGGCCCCCCAGGTTCTCACCTCCCAGAACTGACTCCTTGGGCTGGGGTTCTGTCTGCGCCCCCACAGGGGTCTCAGGAGTCACACTTTACTCAGATTCCCTGTCACTCAGTCTGGGGTTTGGCATATGACAGCTGCTGATGGTGGCCTGGACAGAAGGCTGTGGCTGAGTCAGAGGCCTGTCTCCCTGGCACCACTCCAAGATGCCACAGGGCCACTGTGGGATGCTGTCTGCACTGGTCAGCCTGCAGCCTCACCCTTCCCACACTTTCTACTGAGAGACCCACAGGTGCTGGGTGTCTGGCAGCCAGGGAGACAGAACGGGAGGGGAGGCAGGTGCAGCCAGCCTCACAGAGCTGCCCTCTTCCACCTAAGCCCCTGCCGCAGGGTTTGTTTGGATTCAAGGAAACAGCCTGGGCACCAGCTCCAGCTCTGCAGGCACTTGCTCTGAGGCCTTAGGCAAATCCCTAGGACCAGCTTCCTCACTCATAAAATGGGAATAGCAAATACTTAGCTGCAGGTGTCCTGTAAAGATCCCAAGATGACAGTGGATCCAGAAGCTGAGGCAGGAGGATCACCAGTTCAAAGCCAGCCTCAGCAACTCATTGAGACCTTAAGCAACTTAGCAAGACCCTGTCTCAAAATAAAATACTGAAAAAGGGGCTGGGGATATGGCTCAGTGGTTAAGCGCCCTGAGTTCAAAAAACCCAAAACAAAAACCCGAGATGATGCGTGTCTAGCGGCCACAGTGCTTACCGTTGGCCCAAAGTCTCTGTTGGCTTCTGTGGCCGCTGCTCTCTGCCGCCTGGCGCCTTTCTTCTGGGGTGTGAGCACTTTCAACCCCACCTGACTAATCCTCCGAAAGCCCTTGGAGTGTGAGGTGCCAACACTCATTACGTGGGTTTTACTCCTTCAGCAGCCCCAACCTACTATTGAGGCAGAGAGGGCTGGTGAGTCAGCTGGACCAGGTTTCTGGAGGCGACAGAACCAGCCATGCCTCACGTGCTCTGTGTGACAGAGTGGCAGGAGGTACCTGAGCTCACATCCTCTGAAGATCCATGCCCCCAAGACCCGGGGGAAGCCCTGATTCCTGGTTTGGGGTTCTGAGTTTGCTGGCTCAGCAGCCCTCACTGAAGGGGACAGTACACACTGAACACCTACTGTATACCAAGCCTGAAAGCTAAGCACAGGATGGAATGCCCAACCCTCCTCAGCGAAAAGACACTGCTGCTGTCCTCATTCTAGGAAGGTTGGGGCTCAGAGGCAGGACCAGCCACATAATTTATAGGCCTCTCATTCAAAAAGTATTAAGAATTTCAAGAGGGCGAGAGTAGAGCATCAAACCAACCTCAGGTCCCTGTGGGATCATGCAGATCACGACCATGAAGCCGACCCAGCTCAGAGGTCAAAGAACTTGTTCAAGGCCAAGTTGAGACTCAGCCTGGACCTGAGTCCTGAACCATGTCCATAATTGCTTCAAATGCTACTCTGTGAGGCTCTCTCAGCTCCAGTGCTACAGATCTGGGGCTCCCTGGGATCCCAGTGCCCCCATCAGGCATACACACTTGGGGGCCAGTAGAGGCACCCAGGAGTACACAGGTCCTGTCCTCTCCACAGGTAAACCCTGGAGTCAGCTCAGCTCCCTGCCCACTGCTCTTGTGGGGGGGAGGTGCAGCCAGGGCTGGCCCAAGGCAACTCTGTGGCCGTTTCCCTGGACGCTGGCGCAGTGTGGGGGGAGACGCCAAGGTCCGCTCACTGTGATATACGGTGAAATCTGTGGCACTCCTACCAGGGGCTGTAATTCATAAGTTATGGGCGAACTTCAAGACTAATAAATTTGGGAGAGAAGTATTAATGACTACACAGGGGCACTGTGAACTTGGCAGGCCCCAAAGCCTGGAACTTTGCAGCCCAGGTTTTAAAAATGATTTGTGCTACAGCAAGTCTAAACAGAAGCCCGTCCGCGTTGTCTGACTGTGACCTGCTGGCAATTGTTGAGACTGCAGAAGCCACTTCCTCCTCTCCAGACTGAAGCTGCTGCTGGGGCCGGCACCCCCACCTTCCCGGGGAGCAACAGCCTCACAGGGGAGGCGCTGGCCCCCTCCCAAGGTTCCTGTGACTCATCGCTCATGTCTGCAGGTTAATGTCCAGATCCTGTGTCCTATTGTGAATGCAGCAGGTCTCAGAGCCCTACTGGCCTGAAGGTCATGGAAGGCAACAGACGCTGCCCTTTCTTCATCTCCAGAGTGGCCCAGAATGCCCCCAGTTTGTCCAACCATAATTTCTAATGACCTGAAAATCCCTCCCTGAACACAGCTCCTGGTCAGAGAGAGCTCAGCTAGGGGATGCCCTGGGCCACTCAAGGCTGTGAATCCTTCATGCCTCCCATCCACCCCCACGCTCTGTCCTCAGCCTTAGAGGCACTGGCTGTGCTATTGAGGGCTCTGGGAATTGGCTGTGAAGTGGTAGATGGGGAATGCGTTACGTGGCTGCATAGATGGGCATGTGCAGGGCAGGTGAGCACCTGTGGAGCAGGAGGTGTCCAGGTGATGTTGCATAGGAGGTACCAGGCAGCCGAGGTGGGGTTCCAGGGCTGGGGAGGAGGGACATTTGCAATTGTTCCCAGGGGTGCAGGTTGGGTCCCTGTACAGGAAGCCTGAGCCTGCCTTATTTGGAATTCTCCCTCAGTGCTTTAGGAGGGTGAGAGGTGAGTGCAGACCCCATGACACCTGGCTAATGACATGCACCCCAAAAAGTTGACCCTTGAACCTGCCTCTGCCTCCCTCTTCCTCCTGGAAGTTGCCACTATGTGGGCTGCTGACAGGAGGAGCAGGATGGACAGTGACTCAGAGCTTTGTTGCACTGCTAGAATGTGTGGTGGGATTTGAAAGACTTGGTGTGTTTGGACTCAACTGTGGCTTCCAGTGTCCAGCATCTGCAGGCCACTGGCTAAGGGACAACAATCCCACTCTCATCTTCAGAGCCAAGAGCTCTGATGAGAGAGATGATAAGAGGCACTGGGGAGGGCAGTAGTGTTCAGACCTGCCTCAGGGAACTGGGCAGGCCCAAGCCCCATGAGCCTCAACGGTGAGGCTTCAGCAGGGACAGCAGCACAGCAGCCTCTCACTCACTTTGCTCCACCAGGGAGGAAAATCCAGGATGGGTCTCATGACTGCAGATCAGCCCCTCCTTTTCTGTGGAAGCCAGACCAAGGGGTCAAAAGTTGTTGCTCTTTTCCAGAAGAACTTTCAGAAAGTTCTTCCCTTTCTTAGGAAGAGAGCAGGGGGATGTGGCACATGGCTGAGGAAGGGGATGGCAAGTTTGAGGCTACCCTCTGCAGCTTAGCAAGGCCCTAAGCAACTTAGTGAGATACTGGCTCAAAAAATCAAAAGGACTGGGGACGTAACTCAGTGGTAGAGTGCTCCTGGGTTCAATGCCCAGTACCGAAAAGAAAAAGATAGTGGTTTCCACAAGCCTCAGGTTGGGGAGTCAAGAGTTAGGAGTTTGGGGTCTCTGGGTGTGGACTGTGTGGCAGCCACTGAGCACCAAGAAAGCTGAGCTGCAGGGACCCAGAGGGGATGAAGCCAGAGCCCTGCTTGGTTCAGTTATAGACTGGTAGACTCCATTCAGTCTATTTGAAGAGCTGCTGAGGCTCAGGCCTGGAGGAGCCCTGGAGACACAGGAGCCAGACAGATAGACAAACAGGGCAGTCCTGCATGGGGCCTAGTAGGAGTTGATGTGAGATCCCGAGGGCTGGGTGTGGTGATCCAGGAGCACACAGAGTTGGGTTCCAAGGATGAGAAGTTTGGCACGGTCCAGGCCATCCACTGAACAGTGTGTGGAAAGGCTCAGAACACTAACAGAGGCTCCTGGGTGAAAGCCAAGATGGGGCGAAGGAGGTGAGGTTGGGGATCAGCAGGGATCTCCTGCCACCTATTAGGGGATGAACTACTGTGTTCTTCCCAAATTCATGATGTTGAAGTCTTCAACTCTAGTGCTGGAAGGTGATCTTATTTGAAATCAAGGTGGCTGCATGTGTAATTAGTCAATAGGAGATCATACTGGAGTAGGTAGCCCCGATCCAACATAAATGGGGCCTTTATAAAAAGAGGAAATTTGGACACAGACACAAGGGAGAACGCCATGTGCAGACAGAGATTGGGTGATGCTCCTACAAGCCAAGAAGGGCCAAGGAGTGCCAGCCACCACCAGAAGCTCAGGAATCACCTAGGAACCAGCTCTCTGTTGCAGCACTGAGAGGAACCAACCCTGCCAACCCCTGTTCTCAGACTTCTAGTTTCCAGGACCATGAAAAAACTTGCTGCTATTAAGACACCTAGTTGATGGCATTTTGTTATAGGGGTTCCAGAAAACCAATATACCACCCTAAAGGACTTGGGTGTTTTCCTGAGGGACCCAGGGAACCAGTCAAGGGTGTCAAGGCATGAAGTATTTTGGGAAGATGGCTGTACAGTGAGGAGAAGGGACTGCAGAAGGCACCTAGGGGACAAAGCTGAGATCAGGAAGCCTTGCAAGGTCCAGAAATGGTGAGGACTGAGAAGTGAAGATGAAGAAGGGAACATTTCAAGGTATATGTAGGAAGTAAATCCAGCAGGTACTGGTGATGGGCTGTGAATCCCATCTCCCGGGCCCTGGAGTGAAGGCAGGACTTGACAAGCTATGGCGGAACACAGATGAGTGTCCAGTTCAGCATGGGAATATGAACAGCCAGTTGCTCGCAGGTGGGCTACAGGGACGGGGGGCTCCGCAGAGCTATGTGTGGAGAGCGTGAGGCCTGGGTCTGCTGGGAGCTCAGGCCAGGGAGTCAGCACAAGGCTCAGGAGCCTTTGGACTTCATCTGGGAATCTGGGGTCCAGAACAAAAAAGCAGGAATGGCCCCTCATTACTGTCCAGGCTTTGGAGCTCCCAACAATTGCCTCAGTTCTGGATGTTACTCTGGAGAGCCCAGGGCAGGGAGAGTGAGCAAGAACCTGGAAAGTCTATGCCCTGAGGACTGCCTGTGAGGATGCAGGTGACCATCCCCGGAGGGGAAAATAGTCTGTGAAAGGATGTTGCACCTGGGAGGGCACCTCTCTGTGCATAAAAACCACATCCACGAGGGGAAGGCAGGTGGGGGGCAGGCCTCAACCCTGTCTCAGGAAGCAGGTCTTAGAGCCATTTAAAGGAGGGTGGGCTGCTCAGGGAGGTGCTAAGTACCTCTTAGAGAAGGGTGAGCTGGGGTCTCATGGCCTCTTGGGGGAGTTAGAGATGGGCTTCTCTAACTAGTTTCAGCAGTCCCTTCTGGCCCCCAAATTCTGTGGTTCTAAGATCTGAAAATTTATCAGAACATCACATAGCAAGCTCATTGCCCACACCCGTTCTCAGCAGCATCAGGCCGCAGAGCTTCCTCCCAGCCACCAGTTCCTCATACTTTCTGTGAGGCAGACAGAGCTGGAGCTGAGTCCACTTCATGGAAGGAGCACTGAAGCCTCAAGTCATGGGACTGGGGAGTGGCAGAGCCCATCCACAACCTGCTCATTGCTCCAGCAAGGGGACATGGCATGCCAAGGTGAAGTCACCACCAGACACTACATCAAACTGGGGTTTTGGGTTCTGCAATCCAAGTTCCAAACCCAGTTCTACCATTTCCTGGATACAAGGCCCTGAGTACATCTTTCAACCACCCCATGAGGAAGGCTCACTTTGTTCCCATTCGACAGCTGGCCAAACCAAGGTGCATAAAGGTTAAATCCCTGCCCAACGCCATAGCTGGCTGACAGAAAACCTGGGATTTGGATCTAGAAACATCTCATTTCTCTACAATGCCCTGCCCTGGATTGTGGCCCCGGTTCCCATTTCCACCCACATTGTGGCCATAAATTTGCTACTATCTGCAAAGCTTAGGTGCTGGGCTGTTCTGGCCCCAGGACTGGGCTTCTTAGCTGGGCCTTGGTAGGTGGCAGTACAATAGGAAAGTCCCAGGCATCCTGACTCCACCTTCTTCGTGAGGTGTCTTTGGATGGCTTTCTTGTGTCTCCATCTCTTCCTCCATAAAACAGGGAAGTCATGCCTCCCCTGTCACTTGCTATGTGAGCCCTAAAAAGCCTCAAAGAGCGGCCTGCACTGCTGGAGCACGCATCCAGTACAAGTCTCTAAGATCATGTTCTAGTTTGGATCAGAGTCACTTGACTAAATGCTCTGTCCTAGACTTGGAAAGGTACTCTTGAGGGCACTGACCTGGCGGTGCCTCCCAACCATAGGCAGAGGAGGGGGCGGAGTCCTGCAAGGAGCTCCACTGAGCCCCAGCATCTGTGCGCAGAATGGGGGGCGCGGGTGGGAGCGAGGCAGGAAATGCCCTGAGACTCTGGGGACCCGGAACTCACCTTGCGAGGGCCGCAGCTCCTCCACGACGCTCTCCGCAGCTGTCTCCTCGTCCCACGTGCCGGCCTCCACCACCTTGTAACGACTCCGGGGCTGGCTGAGCACGTGCGGAGCCTGCAGCGCAGCCTCCCGCTCCGCCGCCAGATCCAGGTCCTGCTGCGCCAGGTGTGCCCGCAGTTGCCGAATCTCAAACTGCAAGAGGCAGAAGGGCTGGGCTGGGTGTGCCTGCAGAGGCAGGGGAGGAACAGGGACCTGTACCCTGACACTTTACTCCTGAATGGGGGACATAGGCGGGAGGAGAGGGCTGAGCATCCAAAGGCCGAATGCTGTGTGCTCCGAAGAAATATCCCAACAACGAGAGTTTCTTATGTTTATGGAGCCTTTTCCAAGTAGTAAGGTGTGATCCTGTGGCTCAGATACAGCATCGCGGGACCCCACTGTGAGGCCATGAGAAGAAACACAACCGTGGTTTGTGGGAAGACCCCTCGATGGGGAGTCAGGAAACTTGGGTTTCAATCTGGTGCTAGCTGCTTGCCCAGATGTACCACTCCCAGGGGTGCTTGACAAAATGAGAACCTTGGCCAGGTGCCTTGTACCGACAGGAGACCCAGGGAGACCCAGGGCTCATGCAACCAGCCCATCTTGGTATCACACGCCTGCTTGTCCATCCACTGGCTTCCCTTCCAGAAACATCATTTCCCTCTCCCATGAGGTGTTGGGGAGGATCCTCAGGCAGACGGGATTGGGCAGTGGTCCCTAGCCCTGTGGATGTGGCCTTAGTAATTTCCTTCACCTTCCCCAGTCTTGGTTTCCTTGTGTGTAAATGGAGTCTTCACCTGAGGACTTTAGCTGCTTCCTAAGGGTTTTGTAAAAAAAACAAAACAAAACAAAACAAAAAACTATACACTTTAATTTTGATTTCTTTCTTTATTTTTTGCTGGGGAGAGCTTCTTAGAAAGGCTTCCAGATGCCTCTTGGGTTTGTGGCTGGGATGGCTGTTTACACTCCCAGCCTTCCCAGGACTTCTGGGTGGAGGTGGGCTGACACTGAAGAGCCTTCACTGCCACCTAGTGTCTTGGGCTCCCATTGCGTTGTCTCCGTGCAGTGAGAATGAGCAGGAGGGAGGGGACTAGCAGAGTCCAGGGTGAGGTTCCTTCCCTAGAAGGTTCTCTAATTGCCACTCATGCCCAAAAGCATATCTCAAGCTCTGAACCACCACCCCCAACCCCACCGGACTCTGGAATATCAGACTCACACCTTCAGCTACCTAGTGGCAGCACCATGTAGCAGTTCACAGGAGTTGCAAACTCAACCTGGCCAAAATAGGACTCCACTTTCCCCCCAAACCTGCTCCTCGGGTGTTTTAATCTCATGTTAGTTAGAGTCAGTGTCTGGTCTGCTCCCCAAACCCAGCTCCACCTCCAAATGCTATGCCAAGCTGCCCACTTCCCACCTCTCCTGCCAGCTGTCACCTGGCCAGCTACAGCTTCTGCATCCCTCAACTGCCATCTGCAACAGGAGCCACAGGGATTCTGGCCGACCTAAACCACCTCATGACACCTGTCCATAGGTGTCGATGGTTTACCACCTCACTCAGGAGAAAATCCAATCTCCTCACCCTTGGTTCACAAATCGGGTGCATCATCTGGCTCTCCCCACCTGACCAACTGCATCTCACCTGATCTTCCCTTTCTCCGCCCCCACCACACAACCTTCTCATTGTTCCATGTGGACACCAAGCACAGGTGGTCTCAGGCCTCTTCCCCAGCTGCTCCCCTAACCCAGATCACCTGGCCAACTCAGAAAGTCCTCAGAGGACTTTCCCTGACTCTCATACCACATCCACCCAGGCACTCAGTCACATCAACCTATGTGATTCTCTACATTTCATTTACCACATTCTGATGATTTTGTGTGTTTAATTATTTATTTTAATATCTTTATTCCATTCATTCATTTTTTTGTGGTGCTGAGGATCAAACCCAGGGCCCCACACGTGCTAGGTGAGTGCTCTATGGCTTGAGCCACAACCCCAGCTTAATTACTTTTATTTTTATGAAAGTAGAATATACACATAACTAAGCATTTACTAACCCTATGGTGGCCAGGCAACAAACCAGCATTGGACAACTTCCCAGTGTCAGTGTCTGTGTGTTTCGGTCTTTGGGACCACTCAGGCTTTCCAGAATTCTCCAGCCTCCTGCCTGGGGATATTCTTCTGTTTGCCTCTGGGCTGGGAGCAGGGCAGGGAAGCAGGCAGAAGGTCACTATTCTAGAGGAAGGAGGCTCAGCCCCGCACCTCTCCCCAGACCCCCACCTTACCCACTGCCTGTATGTAGAGCCTCCTGGTTCCGTTTCTCCAGAGGGCAAACCTCCTGACTCTTGCAGGGTGGGGCATAGTCTCCTGGTCCTTTAGGATGTGGAAGGGGTTCATAGGGATTTTTAAAACTGTGTGTGAAGAGTTTTAGCCAACCCCCTTCCTGGTGTCGATTCACACCACATTGCCTTCCTCCTAGAGCCTCAGGGTTTTACGGGGAGAATTATTCCTTTCCTCTCACCACCCTTCTTTGTAGGCACATTACTTATAAATTCTCCATTTTGCTAGATCAGTTACACTTTCTCATCTATTCTCCACCTTCCTAAATCCCCTGAAATCTCTCTCCTTTTTCTCCTGGTGGACAAAACTTAAAGAGACAGTTTACTTCTTATGCCTTTTCCACTTTCACTATCATTTTAGTGAAATGATAGTGCAAAAAGAAAAACAGAAAGAAAAAAAAACACAGATAATTATGTGTGGCTCCTCCACATTTTCTGTAAGATCTGTTTACCTCTCTTTCACTTTCAGTGGTGTGCTGATAAGAAAAAGAAGAAGAAAGCCTGATTCACTGTGTATGATAATTTTATAATGTAAATACTCTTGCCATGACAAATTTCAAGTCACTGATATGATGTCATAGGGAATATGGAAGAAATGTACACAAGCAAGGGACAACTCCCCCACCAATGACACCCTTCACCCCCCCACCCATGGAGTATAATCTCCAAAACAGCAGGGACCTTGCCTGTGTTGTTGCTTGGTACACAGGAAGCACTGGGTAGATTGGTAAATGAAAGAAAGAATGAATGAATAAAACTAATTAGTTCGGTTCTGTGATTTCAGACTGAGCCTAACCCCAGTCACAGCCTGAACACCAATGCTAGCCCAAAGCAGAGACAAAGACTGTGCCCTGACCCTGGCCATGCACTGTGAGCCCTGATCGTAGTCCCATTCTGAGCCTTCACTTGGATCAGAAACGGAGGCAAATCCTGGTCATAGATTTAGCCCTAACTTTGGTCTCAGACTGGGCTCAGACTCTAGACCTCAACACTCAGCATGCAAATGGAGCTGAAAGTCTCAGAGAGAGTTGGTCTTGGAGTGGTCTTTTGTGCAGGGGCAAGGGTGTGAGCCACCTCTCTGGCAGCAAGATCTTTTAGAGGTCATGGAAGGTCCATGAGGTAACCCTGCTGAGCTCTGCTGGGGCCAGGAGCCCCTCCTTCTTAGACAGATCTGAACTTCCCATGGGCACACCCAGCCTGCTTTCTCCAAGGCCACACAACTGGGCCTACAGGCCCTGCTAATGGCTTCCTAGGCCACTCTGAAGGGATGCATTATTGATGGCTTGTAATTGATATGGAGCTGCCCTAGAGAGTCCCCCTGGAATTCAGGCCAGACAGCTGGAGGCCAGGGCTTGCCCAGCCCCAAGCCCACATGTACACACACTGGCACACACACAAAAACAAGTTTTAAACAAAAGATGTGAACTCCAAGTGTGCAGTAGTTCTCCCATTCATTCATTCACTAAGAGGTCAGGGGAAACCTTGTGCACACCATGTTAGAATTGTTATATATTTTGCAATGAAAATTCCTGTCCCAGCCCTTGAAGATGGATGGCTCCAGCAAGATGGAGTGCATGTGAAATCTGCTATACAACAGGGAACAAGTTCCCTATGAGAGTCACAAGAGCTGACCCTGGGGTGGTACTTATGACAGAGGAAACATGATACATACAAGAGACAGATGATCAGCTGGTGGCGGTGGGAGTGGGGGTTGGCAGGTGCCACTGGGCAGAGTGTGTAGCCATGGAAAGATGATTTAAGGATTTCCATCTTTATTTAAAGAGCAAGAAACCACTGGAATCTTTCACAAAGAAGGGTGGAGCAGGGGCAGTGTTGGTGCAGTGACTCAAAGGAGCAGTTTGAAAGGAATACACAGAGGGGGATGGGTCGGATGAGACCTGGGGGATATGGGGAAAACCATTGGGGTTACTGCAGTGCCCAGGTCAGAGAGGACCAGATTTGGACTAGGTGGAAACAGTGGAGATGGAGAGAGGAGGAAGACAAGAGAACTATTTAGGAGGTGAGAAAGTCGGCACAGGGCATGAACTGGGGTGGGGATGAGGGAGAGGGTACCTACTTATGGTGCAGATTTTTATAAGCTTCATATCCAGAGGGTGTGGGGTGAGAGCTGGATGCTCTCACCCTGAGAAAGAATGATTGACTCTTGAGAGGGAAACTGCAGATGACCAAATGGCTCTCAGCTCTGAGATAGGCCAGCGGTCTCAGGATGTTCTAGGGAGACCCTCAGAACCTGACTCCTCCCATACTTAATGTGGTAGCAGGTGCTTCCCCAGCCAACCAAAGGGCGATCCAAAGGTCCTAGGATGTCAGAGCCTCTTCAGTCAGATGGGTAAATTGAGATCTGAAAGTGGGAAGGAGTCCCACGTGCTGGGGGAAAGGATGAGGGAAAGGCTAGGACTACCTGGCGCCTCAGCAGCAAGCAGCAAGCAAAGCCTGGGCCTCTGGCTTCCAGGCCCTATGTCCTTGGGTCACAGGTCTTGTAGCCTCATCAGTGAGATGGAAGGGAATCAGCCAGGGTATAGGGCAGCTTGATGGAATCAGGCTCCAGGAAAGAGCAAGGACAAAAGCCAGGGCTGGAGGCAAGAGCCTGAGCTCTTGGCCCATTAGCCCTCCCTCATTCTGACTTTGACAAAGTCCCTTTTCCTCTCTGGGCCTCAATTCACTGTGTGTCCAATAAGAGGAAAGACTCGTGGAGTTCTGAGTCTCCAGGGAGCTCTCTCTTAGCTCTGGGACCTGAGCTAGGAGGGATGAAGTGCAGGTGTTAGTTAATCCTGGCTGTGCCTTTAGGGCCACCCCGTTCCCTGCTGAGATGTCCCACTCCTAGAGGA